TTTTTTTTCAATTATGTTCTACATTTCATTTTTACAATACCAAATTTTTATAGTTGTATAAAGTTGAATATACTCGATCGTGCAGTAATGAATATATATATACTGCTTGAAAATACTTTTTGTGATTACTTCCCTTCGCTGGCGTGTTGTTTAATTATCGTTGAAATGACTGAACAGCTTGGTTTGGTTTCGTGCGAATAATTGAACAGATTTTCCCGATGTAATCGCAGAGGAAAGTGACCGCTTTCCGGTGAAATTTTCGCAAGTTATTCCCGTGGATCACTTTAATTGAAACGTTTGCGTTGGACGATAATGTCAGAGCCGACCGAAAACACTCGCCGAGGCACAAAGGAATCGAATTAAAGCGTAATTCTTCGAAGAGAAGAATCCCGCCGGTGGGGCGGATCTGCTTAACCTTCCGCCTCTGAAACGCGAGTACACCGCAGCAAATTAATCCCTAAATCGTATTGAAATAATTGAGTTAATCCTTATCAAAGTGAATTGGACCGCATCGGCGGTAGCTCGGAGGTTAGCCGATTTCAATTTTCGCGACGCGCAAATCTGTCCGCGAAATGATAATTTTTATCCTCCATCTTCGCCGGTCGCCACTTTCGTTCCTTTGAAATGAAATAGAGACGAAGCCAAGCACGAGACGCTTGACGAAGGAAATAAAACCCTTGAAATTTCCGCTCGGAGGCTGGAGGGACGAGCTCTATAATAATTCCGCGCGAAAGAGCGTTGCACAGTTTTACGCTGGCATTGGTACACGTCGGATCTGAAATCTCTTTCCTCAAAGTTTCGCGGAGCAATCTTTCTGACCTGGAAAAAAACAATGTGCGGAATCTTTCGAGAGAGAGAGAGAGAGACACGAATAAACGCAAAGTTGAAAAATACGACTGTTCACGCCGCAACGTGGAAAGGAGTTATCTCGGAAAACAGTAGTTATTTACCACTTTATTCCCTTCCCGTTCTAAAGATCTCAGCTTCCAGACTATAAACTATTTCCAGAAGAGACCCCGAGCTACGGTATTTACGAGATTTCGCTATTTATCAAGTAAGATGAAAAATTCCTTCCGACGTCGAAGCTTCAAAAGTAATGACAAACCGACGTTCAAAAAGTAATTACACAAAATTCTGTTGATCGCAGTCTGAGGTAGCGAATGATCGTCGTTAATCGTAATAAACCACGTGAACGATGTCGACCTACCTATCGGCTTTTATGTATTTACCACTATTCGTAGTGTTAAGCCTGGCTCGTTAGCACGGTCTAAGTAAAATATTCATATCATGATGGATGTGGCGTCGACATATATATATAGTATATGTATATTACAGAGGCGGAATACGCGCCGGTCTCTGTGCACGATATTTCGCGTTTCCGCTACGCTACTCGATGTTACGCGACCGTGTAATGAACCGTTCATTTCACCGATACCGGCCGATCTTTTCAGATCGGCCAACATGCGCACGCCATTTTCATTAAAGCCTTTCTATCAATTTTCCTCTCCTCTCTCGCTCTGTGGTTTCATTGCTTTTTCGTTTCTAATTTCACTGGCCTAGCTCTTCAAAGCACCGGTCCCTATAGCCGATTCATTAACGCCGTACAGTTTTGTTCGTTCAAACGGTAATTTGGCAAATGAATCAATGCCTCCTTGTACGTTGCGAACGATAATTTCCAAAGAATGAAATTCACCAATTCATTTATTTGACTCTGATATTCCAAATTGGGCTTCTAACAATTATACAGTGATGGATAAAAGAAAGTTCAGAACTGATGTTCCATACGTAAATAATATGTAATGAATTATATAATATTTGTTTTACACATATACGTAAATAATACGGTGTTTTCGAACACAAATAAAATTCATGTTCAATATTTCATCTGTCTGTAACAATCTAATTGTATTATATTTATTTCTCTTGTCAATTATTCATCGTTACTCGTTAAACTTTCTTTCTAAACTTTAAACATTGTATCACACACGTTCTTTTTCCCCAATTTTTCCTCGTTCTCTTCGCTCGCGTAACTCTGACGTTCGAGAACACATACGCTCGGTTACACGTATCCGCGTATATTCCGCCAACCTAATCCCTCCATCATTTATCCCTCGAAAATTTACCGACACCTCGCCGTAATACCACATTGTGGCAAATTCGTCGCTTCCCTTGATCGTTCCCATACGAAACGTTCCCCATATCCGGCTCGTAACGATCAATCTTTCGAGGGACCGAGCGCGCCAAGTGTTGATTCTCCACGAAATCTCGAGCTCGAGCGGCTGGG